TATTGAGTAGGTAACTGAAGATGGTCACAATTTTTTCCAATGATGTTGTATACATGACTAGTTGAAAAATGGATGAAAAATCCACTGGAAAATTAATAATCCTTTATGTCACTGATACTTGTTTACGGTTGGGTTTATTTAGCATAAATGTGCTATGTTGGGATGATAAAGAAAAAATTTGAAAGATAGTTAGAATCTTAAATAAAAAATAAAAAATAAATAAAAAAAAACTGAAATGCTGTCATAGAGCTGAAGGTCTTAGTAAGTCCTTGAGTTGCAGGTATTGGCAAGGGACTGTTGAGGATGCCAAGAAGACTCCTTCAACCAGGGAAGCTTCATGAATATTCAAATACTTTTATGGTTGGTTACATTTTGTTCTTAAGAGTATTATCAAATTATGATTTGGACATAAAAAGAAGAATTAATTGCCAAAACTATTTAACATTGTTGCGGTAGCTAGTGTTAATTTAACCTCATATCTATGAGGAAAAATTTGTAAAAGTATCTTTATAGTAAGATTTTATAACCATAAAAATGGGTTGCTAAAGAGGCCAGTTTCAATTTAGGCATCTCGGTGGTGGTGGTTTTATTTTTTGATTTAACTTGATATTTGCTAAAACTCCTTGTATAAGGATCTTGTTCAAGTTTGAATTGTTTGATTATGTGAACTGCAGTGGAGCTTTTGAATCCGTGAAGGGTAAGCAAGATAGTATCCTATGGGATCAATTTGGAAATATACTTTGTGAAAACGAATAATCTAGTGTGCAAAATATTTGTGGATGAAATAAAAGAAAATAATGTCACAAATCCAAAAAGATTTGATATCTTGTTTGTGATCACATTTTATTTTTTATTTATTTTTTTTAGTTTTTTAATGATAGAGGAAACTCTAACAGAACAAAAAGTAAAGTTTTATAACTCGAGGAATCAATTTACCCTTATAAAACAAAATACAATGGATGCAACAATCGTAATTTTGTGTACTTATTAAATAATTATGTGATTGTAAACAATCGTAAAATCTATGACCTTACTATTAGAATTGGTGTGATGCAACAATATTTTGTTGGTTGAACTATTTTCTGTGGGTTGGATTAACTGTAATTGTTTCAACCGGCTTTCAAATGTTATTTTGAACTTCGACCCAAGCAAGGACGATCTTCAGCGCGGTTCACCCTGTGGGACACCCGCTCGAGCTCAGGAGCCAGTCAGCCCTACCCCCCTCCGCCGCCACCACCACAACCTTCGGATCAACATTGACTTGTCACTGTGCTTTGAATGTTGTTCGCACGTTTTCATTATGTTATATCCTAGTTTTGAATGTTGTTCGCACTTTTGTACTCCAGAACATATTTTTCTCTTACTTTTTGATAGGAACTCATCTTTGAGTGTGAAAAACTCCAAGATTGTTATTTTCGGATTCGTTTGCACTCGGATTTTGACGTTGAACCTTCGTATTAATCGTAAGCTTCTATTTTCGTTTAATTCATGAATGTCATGGCTTTGTTTAATATGAATGTTTGTGTTGAGATCGCTATGAGTAGCTAAATTCTCTAGCTAGGGTTAGGGGATTGTCATAACAGGTTCGAAATTTGCGCCACGTTTCTTTCTTGCCAAGAAACAGGTTTCTTGCCAAGAAACTGGTTTCTTGCCAAGAAACTGGTTTCTTG